AGACTTTGTTGTATTTTAATTTTGTGTTTGTAAATTCTGTACATTTAATTAAGTTATTGTTAATTATCTATTAGTTTAATGTAAGTGGCTATTGGCATGGCATAGATAGAGAGATTGAAGATAGAGATAATCGAGTCAAGCCATAAGTAAAGTGTGTGAATCCCTGTGAATTATAGCGTGTTTTTATAAAATTAGTTAAGTTAAAGTGACTGTGGAAATTCTGTGTATTGCAAAGTTGTATTGAGAAAGAATAAACTAGTTTTAATTAAGAAAGGACTTGTATCACTGAATTTCCTTGAAAAGAATTTAAACCGGAAATTAACAAATGACCACATACGCAACAAGTGGCAGATAAAGTCAGTTAGGCCATCAAGGCAATGCTTTGTTTTTAGTGGCAAAGCTAATGTAATTTTAGGGTGTACTTAGAGACATTTTTATTACAAGCCAAAATAGTTAGACCTTTCTTGTAATACTATATACAATTTTGGTTTCCTTATCTAAGAAAGGATATTGATTTATTAGAAAAGGTTCCAAGGAGAGATATCAGGATGATTCTAGGAATGGAAGGGTTATCTTATGGAGATAGGTTAAGAACTCTTTAATTTAGTTGCTTTTGAGAAAAGAAGGGTGAAATATGTTCTTATTGAAACTTACAAGATTATCTGGAGGATCAGTATGATAAAGACCTTTAATTTGCTTTTGTTATATTCTGATAACAATAGGATGAGAGGACATAGAATTAAGGTTTGGAAAATGTAGCCTAGGCATTTTATAAGAGTTTAAAAAAGGGAATTGATAACTTCATGAAAAATAAAGAGTGAGTTTAAGTTGTTTTTCTTTCTTTCAAGGATGGGTATTGAATAGGGGTGCGTATCTCATCGTAGTCGTTGATATGATACATATCTAGATATTGATGCCTCGATACGATATGTATCTAGATACAGAAGTTTTACCAATGGTTTGTTACAAAGTTTGACAGTCTTGTCTGTAACATTGTCTTATTTAAGTATTTCACACTTTACGGTGCTTTTTCAAATTCTCAGGTTTGATCAACTAAATGGCAGCTGGCAAGAGAAGTAAAATAAAAAAAAGTTAATATCTATCTATCCATTTTGTTATTGCTCATTTGTTATGTTACTTTGCATGTTATGTTTTTTCATAAAAGAAGTGAAGACAACATGTAGTACTCAATACTCATCTTCCTTTATTGAATCATTAATTTTTAGCAAAAATACTTTAATAGAGATTCTTATTTTTTATATACAAAGACTTATAATATTTATTGAAAACTTGTCAAATTTTGTGAACATGCATAAATCGTATTGTATCGGACGATGTATCGATACAATCATATCACTGCTTCATGATACGATACTTGTATCGTATTGCCACTCCTTTAGTATTCAAGGACAACCTTGAAGTACCAAATAATTCCTTGTTGTGTGTATATTAATAATAATTAAACATTGGTCATATTTATGCTGGAGGCTTTCCAAAACTATTATGCAGTTGATTGTTTTTGTTAAGGGGTTAACATTTATACTTTTTTAATGTAATTATATTTATCTTAAGTAAGCTTAAATATATATTATATATTTGTTTATCTTTCAGATAAACCCAAGCCCCCACCAAAACCATCAATTTTGTTATCCTCTTATGGTAGTATTGAACAGTCGAAGTGTAATTTCTCTGAACCCACTTGGGATTTGATTGTAAGAGATGAACCGGCTTCACTATCATGTGGCCTTCACTCCAAGTCCTGGAAGTTTGCAGTGGACACCTCAGAGTACCAGAATCTCAAAGTAGTGTGTCACCATCAATCACAAGAAATACAAAATCAAACTGAGTTTATACATAATGAAACCCTTTCTACAAGGTAGAGTAACTCTTAAGTTAATAGTGTTATTTTTTGTACACCAGTCTTGCTCATAGATGTTTAAACTTCTTTAAACTGAACTTATTATAATGAATCAAAGTAAAGCAACTTAACCAGAACTAGGCTTACTTAACTGCAGACGATTTCCAATCCTAACCATGGCAATACCTCTTCCTTTAATGAGCTGGAAACAAACACATATACAACAAGGGAAACACACATACATGCTGGCTTCTCCTAAAGCCAACAGCACCCACACCTACACAATATCAGACACTCTATGGAGCTGAATATGTAACTCACATAACTTGACTTAACATCCACTAAGTTTAGATGACCTTTAAGGGTCAAATCACCTCTTGTTAGACATGAAAATGATAGAGCTTCTTGTCCAAAGGATAAAAAATGCTAAAAAAATTTACTTGTCCCTTCTCTTTCCATTAAAACACACAAAAATTAAAAGATAACCTGTACGATTTTGCTGTTATTTAACAATGAACACAAACAATTGACAGCTCAGTTTTAGTAGGAATGGTGTAAACCATGTTTCACAACTAAGCTTATAATATGTATTTGTTTGTGTACCCTATGGTTTTTAACATAAAGCTGTTAGGGTTTTATAGTGCAGCATGTAGAGTATCCCATGCATAAACTGATAAGGAAATTGTGCTATACATTAATACTCTCACAAACTAAATGGTGCTTAAAATATATATATCACAGTTTAAAGCTTCTTGTAATTTTTGTTATAAATTCTTCCTATAGGTGGCAGTTACACTTTACTGGGCTCCTACTGTACACAGAAGTAATGTAATAATGTCATTGTATTAGTTTAAATACATTTGTTGCTGTGTGTGTATTACTTGAGGGGTTTGTGAATTAAAGGGATATGTATATAGTTTTGGTTTGAGGTTTAGAGATAAGCATTTTTAAATGTTTGTGGTGTGTGTGCTAGACTTAAACATTTCAAAATTTTCAGGAACTTGCTTGCTCCATAGAAATCTACCCAGAGTTTTTCTAGCAAGAGAATGAATGATGTGAATAAAAAAAACTATTTGTTCAATAGGCAAAGTATAAGTGTAAAACTTGTTGTCTCAGTCATCAGGCAAAATGGATTCCATACCCCCTGTATTTCTCATGTTTTCTCCACTTCCAAGTTTTATAAATACATAACTAAGCCATAGATTATTTGATTAGTGCACAGCTGGTTTTTAACTGAAAGTATGTGTATTATTATTTGAATATCTTTCAGTAAGAAAATGATTTGCACAGTTAAGCTGTAATTGTAAAAAGTTTGTTATGCAATGATTATACTAACTGTCTTTTAGCCTCTTGTTCAGGGTTCTTAACAACAATGCACAAACAGTATTTTACAACTGAAAATATTTTTTTTCAATTATAATTGTTTTTCTAAATAACAAAATTTATCCAATAATCCTACAAAATAACTAATTATGAATTTATTCATTTAAAAAAATATTATATGAAATTGCTCTCTCATTTTAATAGCAAACAAAATTCTTGTTACAAAATATTAGAAATTAGTTACTTTAAATCTAAATTAACAGTAAAGTAACTTATTGTTTATAAATTTGAAATATTCAACATAATATTAGGATAATATCTGGTTTTCTGCCAACCAATTTTTTAATTTCAAGTAATATCTATATAAATATAATATGACTGTCTGTTGTATGTCCATGTAACTACTTTGCAGGATGTGGATGGATCTTCACCAAAATTGGTATGGAGGTTCATTAAGTCCATGCAGGGTACATACAAATTTTCAGTTTTATGGTTTTTATGGGATGTTTTGCATTTCTTACCATTACTTCACCCCCTGTTGATGAATCTTCACCAAATTTGGTATGGAGGTTTATTGGGTCCATGGGGAGATACAAATTTTCAGTTTTGTGTTTTCACGTTTTCTACCACTACTTCACCCCCTGTTGATGGATCTTCACCAAATTTGACATGAAGGTTTGTTGGGTCCATGCGGAGATATGTTCAACTCTGCAGTTTCACATATTATGTTTTGCAGTTTTTATGGACATTTTTTACAATTACAAATAAAGGAAGCAACTTTCCATATACTAAGATAACCTTTCATTAATCATGAATTTACATAACTTTCATCCAGAGGGTGGGTACTCCAGCTAGTTTTACTAATACTGTAGGTTTTATTTAACACAACAGCATGATATTTATGTACATGTTTGTTTTGATGATGACTCCTTTATTTAACTTGTTAGTGATGATGAGAGACATCTCATAATTGACTATGACTATATTTGATCCAAGTAGGTATAACCAGACAGCTCTTAGGTAATTTTGTGTTGCTACTTCAGTTAATAAGGTTTGGCTAATTATTCCACAATGTATTTGGATTCCTGTTAAATTGTTGTGATATAAATCAGCATTACTTAAACTGAACCACAAATTGATAAGTTCTTTGTTTATCTTTAGCTTGAAAATCATTTAAAAAATATTTCGTATTTTTATCTTCTTGTTTATTCAATTTAAAACAAACTGTTAAATATATATTTTCAGTTAGAATCTTGTTGCAAACCATGTGTTAAACATTTCTCATGTTGAAACCCACTTGTAGATCAGATGACACACTCTTCTTTCATTTAAAACCAAGTTAAAAATAAACTTGTAAATATTTTCGTAGTTGAAATGCAAAATTGAAAATAAACAGATAAATATTTTTTCAGTTAGAATTTTGTGGTAAAACCGAATGTTATGTTAGTTGAAAGCTCTTAAGACCAGTTGAAAATTAGAAGACACATTTCTTTCAGTTAAAGCCAAACTGAAAATAAGCTTTTAAATATTTTCTCAATTAGTTTATTGTTGAAAACCAAGTATTAAGTATTTTTCTAATAGAAACCCAGTTGGAAAGCAGGTGGCACATGTTTCTTCTGGTTAAAGCCAGATTGAAAATAATCTTTATTTTAATTTTTGTGGATACTAAGAATTTTCTAGTCAAGACTTTTTATAAAACTAATCTTTCTTGAAGTAATTTCCTTCCTGGTTAGAAATCTTTCCAAGGAAAATTGCATCACAATACCATACTAATATCCGATCCATTCAATATACATATGACTTCAGTTATTTTTTTAAAAAAACAGATTAATGAAAAGAGAAGAAAGGATATAACTTGCACACTGTATGAAAATTTCACTAGTTTATCTTTGGTATAATTTTCTTTAGCTGAAATGAATAGAATTCAACTTTTTGAATCTTTTGTGAAGTATAGTATAATGGATAAATCATGGCTAGTTAACAAGGTATTTGTATTTCAGTTGATATATTTGCAACTTGCAAAAAGAAGTACATTAGTAAGTATTGATACTGTTGCGTCAGCGAGTCACGTGACTACTATGACGCAACGTTTCTAGAACTATCATGTA